AAAAAAAAAAAAAGCTAAGTGTATTATTTCAAGATGAAAGGGGCATTAGACCCCTTTCTCTAACACTATGGACTCCTGACTCCAAAACTTCTGAATTGCACTCTTGATGGCAAGGACAGAATGGGTTTGTAGCTCCAATTTGTTTCCATAGGACTTGAGAGCAGAAAGATTTTCTAGACCTTTGTGTCTTTAAAATGCTTACAGGAAACAGGGGAGCAAGGCTGGGGCAGGAATTGTTACTGAAGAATAGGTTTCCTATATTATCTCAAGGAAAGCATATTTCAAATAAAGACTACGGAAGCGGGGGAACAATTATGGAGCGGAAAGGTCCCACACCATGAAGGCATCCGCTCCTTCCACACTGCCTCCCCCACTGCTCATCAATCATCCAGGCTCATTCTTTGATTAAAGCCAAGGCAAAATATCTCCAGGGAAATCTTGAAATGCAAAACACCTTTCTTTCTTTCTATCTTCTGTGTGGTTCACTGAAAATTTTTTCCTCTCATTTATTATAGCAGCACTTCTTAACTTTCAGAACTTTAAAATGTGTGGACTTCAACTCCCAGAATTCCCCAGGCAGCATGCCGACCGGGGAATTCTGGGAGTTGAAGTCCACCAGGGATGGGTTCTACTTACCTTCACTACTGGTTCGCAATGGGGCCGCGTGAATGCGCAGAAGCATTTTGATGATGTCAGGGTCAGTGGGCGGAGCCCCCCACCGGTTTTACTACTGGTTCTATAGAATCGGTGCGAACCAGGGGCAACCCACCACTGAAGTCCACCCATCTGAAAGTTGCCAAGATTGAGAAGCCCTGCATTATAGCAGTTGTTCTCCTCCTTTTGTAAGTCAGCAGGATTTTCTTTCAGCTACAATCTAGAAAAAGAAGTCCACTGGGTAGTCTCATTTTTATGTGACAATCAACTACCTGTCATGGATGGAGGGCAGATCTCCTGTTCATTTGAGCTGCTTAAATGAAAGAGACTCTTTGTCGCTGCCACTCCTGAGTAACCAGATGCAAATTCCTTTCATGGTTATTTTGATGCCAACTCCAATTGACTCTGGGTGGTTTGCCAAATAAAGAACATAAAAAACAGGAATGTATAACAATATAATAAAGATTATCCAAAAAAAAAGCATTAATTGCAAAATAATTACAGGACAGCAATCAGACTCAATCTCAAATATCATGGGTGCAGATATGAGAGCATCCACAACTTTCTAAAAATCTGTCATGTGTCATGGTGGGGTGGGAGATCTTCTGGTTTAGTCCAATGAAGTCCTCTGTATTATTTATTATAGGCACATGAGTGATACAATGAGAAAATTGCCTTTACATTGTAAGGTCTCCTTCTTGGGAATTATGTTTAAAAGATTAACAAATCATCAACCTGCTCCCCCAATGTATATCAAATCAAAGTATATCAAATCAAAGTACCATCTTGACAATCATCCCAAAAGTACTTTTTCAAGAGGCAACTTGGACTTTCTGTTTTTTCTTTGAAGACGTTTTGCTTCTCATCCAAGAAGCTTCTTCAGCTCTTCTTCTCATCCAAGGAGCTGAAGAAGCTTGTTGGATGAGAAGCAAAACGTCTTCAAAGAAAAAACAGAAAGTCCAGTTGCCTCTTGAAAAAGCAATTTTGGGACAACCATGACCTGGGTGACTGAGAATCTCCATAGACATCTTGGCAATCAATTTCCCATTAGCAAACACAGTCGGTGTATGCAGTTTCCAATATTGCCCTAAAAGCCATAGTTTGTTTTAGCCATGATTTACCAAGATGATGTCCTCACTCACCCTGTGACATGAAAGTCTGAATGTGTAAACCTGGTTTGCTAAACCTGGAGAAACTCTCCTAAACTTATTTCGCAGTAAGATTAAAAGTTATTTGTCCAGTCATGACTGGGAATTATCCTATATAATTACCGTAAGTCTCCAAGAAGTGCAAAAGGTTCCTAGTATTTATTTCTTTGGCAGTCATTATTTCAAACTTGGGCAGAAGCTCAGCAGAACCTTCCAAGAAGGAGACGTTTCTGCAGGTTCTAACCGTGTTGTGAGTAAAATTGCAAATAATAAAGGCATCAGTCATGCCTTGAAATATGAGATAATAAAATAATAGAATAAGATAGGGAGATGATTCTGTTTATGCTTATGCTTACTTGGGAGCAGTCTACTTAGGTCTCAGAATTAATTTTTTATAAACTATTTATTTAAATTAAATTTAAATTCATGAGAATTTTAATAAATGTGTGACGTTATAAGAAAGTGAAAGTTCTGTTTGTGTTAAGGCATTTGTCCATATTAATTTTTGTTCCTTATTTTTACATTATAAATAGCTTGTCGGGTAATCTGTCCACGTTGCATACGTAGATTGTGATCTGGTTCAGTGAACACACAGCTACATCTATAATGTGATCTTCTTGGGTTTTGGAAGGAATGTTTTATGAATCTAGCCAACTGCCAGTTATGTTATAGCACGTTGAGTGAGCCCAGTCAATCATGGTTTATTCAGTAAATTAATGTTAATTATTTAGCTTGTTGCATGAATGTTATTAGATAGTGGTGACATTGTATGGATAGAATTCAGCTGAAAATAAACGCTTTGTATGTCTACCGTGCATCTTAGAACAATTTGCTCAAAACCGAGATCCACTAAATTTAAATTGTGGAAGATTGCTCCAGGAAGCTGAACAGGTTTGACACTTTAATGCTGACTCGATGCTTAAAACTAGTGAGTCATATAGCCAGCCTTGAAACAGCCTCGTGAGAAACAGCAAGGATAATAATCAGAATTACCTTGATCTCTTCTCTCATCATTCTCTTTTAAAAGCGATGTAAGAAAATTTGCATTTGTGTTATCTTTTGAAGTACAAAGGATCTCTGCTGAAATTCTCATGGATGGAGCATGATGCTCTTGCTTTTCTCCAAGGGGGAGGGATAAGAAATATGACACTCCTAATTTATTATCCTCCTGCTGTCTTTATGAACTTCTTCAGCCATCAGCTTAACTTCCAATGCTATCATTAGATCTCAAAGAAGACGTCATGTGGGCCTTTTTCAGATTGGGAAGTATGAATAGCCAGGGAGACATCAGAAGAGAGATACCACAGAAAGGTCCATGAAAACGTTGATGTTCAGGAAAGGACAACCAAAGCTCTCTCTCTCTTTTTCTTTACATGTGCCCATGGGTGACACACATCTCAAAAAGTCAAGTTCATTGTAGCCCCCACCTCCCTGCCATCTTGATTCTCTCTCCCTGAAGAAGTAGCAGAACCCTTGATAAGATGACACTTGGAATATTGCATCCAGTTTTGGTCACCACGATGTAAAAAAGATATTGAGACTTTAGAAAGAGTACAGAGAAGAGCAACAAAGATGATTAGGGCTAAAACACAGAAAGAACGGTTGCTGGAATTGGGTATGTCTCAGTGGAGGGTTTCAAAATTTTTTACTACTGGTTCTGTGGGTGTGGCTTGGTGGGCATGGCGTAGCTTGGTGGGCATGGCAGGGGAAGGATACTGTGAAATCTCAATTCCCCTCCCACTCCAGGAGAAGGATACTGTAAAATCTCCATTCCCTCCCCAATCCAGGGGAAGGTTACTGCAAAATCCCCATTTCCTCCCGATCAACTGGGACTTGGGAGGCAGAGAATAGATGGGAGCAGGGCCAGTCAGAATTTTGACTACCGGTTCTCCGAACTACTCAAAATTTCCACTACCAGTTCTCTGGAACTGGTCAGAACCTGCTGAAACCCACCTCTGGTATGTTTAATGAAAAGAAGAGCTAGGGGTGACACAATAGCACTATTCTAATGTCTAAGAGGCTACCACAAAGAAGAGCTTGCCTTCGGAAGTTGTGTGAACTTCATCACTTGAGGCTTTCAAGAAGAGATTGGACTGCCATTTGTCAGAAATGGTGTAGGGTCTCCTGCTTGGGCGGCGGTGGGGGGGGTGTTGGACTAGATGACCTACAAGGTCCCTTCCAACTCTATTAATCTGTAAAGAGGGGATCAACCCAGTGGTGGGATTCAGCCATTTCGCACCACTTCAGGAGAACCGGTTGTTAACTTTCTGAGCAGTTTGGTGAACTAGTTGTTGGAAGAAATCATTAGGGCAGAGAACTGGTTGTTCAATTACTTGAATCCCACCACTGGGTCAACCTATTCTCCAAAGCACCTGAAGGCAAGACAAGAAACGATGGATGGAATCTCATGAAGGAGAGAACCAACCTAGAACTAAGACATTTCCTGACAGCGAAAACAATTAATCAGTGGAACCCCTTGCCTCCAGAAGTTGTAGATGTTCCAACACTGGAAGTTTTTAAGAAGACATTTGTCAGAAATGGTATATAGGATTTCCTGCCTGAGCTGAGCAAGGGGGCTGGACTAGAAGACCTCCAAGGTCCCTTCCAACTCTTGTTATTCTGTAACATCCCCTCCCCCAAACTCTACAAGAAACCCGAATCCAAATTCTCAAGCGCCCCTCCCCCTTAGGCGAGGAGACAAGAGAGAGATAGATAGATAGATAGATAGATAGATAGAGAGATAGAGATAGAGAGAGAGAGAGAGAGAGAGAGACTCTCATTTGGAGGTTGAAAAAGCTTTGGGGAAATCTCCGCAGGGCCAACTGGATGTTGGACAGAGGTGGAGCTTCCCCACTTGAGAGAGCTTTGACAGGTCCCCTTGCCCGCTGCGCTTTCAGCCTCATCCAAGACCAGGGATCAGCCAGAGGAGGAGGAGGAGGTTCGGGAGCGATGCCCGGACGGGGGACGAGGCCACTCGGGAAGCCACTTCGGAGCAGGTGAGGTACTTTTTCCTGCGGGGTAAAATCTGCGGGGTAGCCCGAGTTGGAATCCAAAGGGCCAGGCGGGCTTTTTCTCCCGGCGCCTTTTTTCCACCGAGCAGCTTCTGTTGCCCGTCGGCTCGCGGCTCCTCCTCCCCGGGGCCGTAGTCAGGAGTCAATCCCTTTCCATAGGCTGCCGCCGCCGCTCTCCTTGACTGCGCCTTTGCTCGCCCAGCTGCCAGGCCTCTTCGCGGAGCTTCTCCACAGCAGCCGGCGGACGGCGGTGGACAATTTATCCGAGCCCGTCCGCGGCCACGGGGGAGTCCCACAGGCTCTAGCTGGCTTTGAGGGACAGGATTCCCAAGGCTCCCACCCCCTCCTCCCTCCCTCCCATCCACCCCCCCCTTCTTCCCAGGCTTCCTGTTGGGGCTACGTAATCCCGCCACCCGCAGCAAAGCCGAGGCCCGGCCCGCCTGGCATTGCTTTGCGTTATGGACAAGCACGGCGGGAGAATAAAGGAGAAGCGGCGTTATAAGGTGAGGGCTGGTGGGGGGGGGGGAAGAGGGGAGGGGGCTTCAAGGGTTTAAGAAGGGTGAAGAGGGGCCAGGAGGGGGTTTAAAGGGGGACGGAGATTTGGGGTGGGAAAAGCCTGGGGATCGCCTGTTTTGGTTTGTTGGTTTGTTGGTTGGTTGGAGCGTGGGGCAGCCCCACTCCCCGTGCGATAGATTCCACCGGTTCGTCTCCGGGAGTGAAAACCGGAGTAAAATTAAGACTTGGAGCTGATGTGGAGGAAGCGCTTGGCTCCCCAATCGACCCCCGTTGGAAAGCATTCCTGCGATCCGGGCACCGCTTCCCAAAGCGGGGGGGGGGGGGGATTCCACGGATTGGGAATCGGATCCCATTCCCTGGGAAAGCTTTGGAAGGAAGGGGGCAATCTAGATGTCCTCCCCCACCCCCACCCCCCCACTCCCGGCTTCCTTCGTTGACGCGTCGGGATCCTCGGAGGTCAAAACTTTTTCTCCGGTTCCCAGGGAGATTTCTGTCGCCGACCCTTCCTAGACCTCTCCTCCTCCTCCCCCATCTGCGCCTCTTTTCTTAGAAGAGAAAAGGAACTCCCACGCCATCCCAAATATTGTCCCTCGCTGTCCCGGCCAGCTCAGGCGCGATTCCCTGATTCCCCCCTTAAATGTCACGCCGTCTGGGACATCTCTAAGGCTCGGGAAGGGCTTAAGGTTAGCGCAGATTTCCTTTATTATTATTATTATTATTAAACAAGCGTTTCCGCTGATTTCTGTGAATGTGGTGGATTCCGTAAACGCGCTCGGTCCCCCTGGGAATTGAGATCCCAGCGGAAAAGTGAAGAGTTTGGGGAAGAAGGGAGAGCGGGGGTGGGGGGTGGGGGTGTTTGCGAATGAAATCGGCTGGTTTCGAAGCGGATTTTGCTTGCTTTCGAGGTAACCGCGGCGATGAATGAATGCGGAGAGGGATTGTTTCTTTCTAGGCTGCGTTGTTCATGTAGGTTGAAGGATCTATCTATCTATCTATCTATCTATCTGTCTGTCTGTCTGTCTGTCTGTCTGTCTGTCTGTCTGTCTGTCTGTCTGTCTATCTGTCTATCTGTCTATCTGTCTATCTATCTATCTGTCTATCATCTCTCTCTCTCTCTCTCTCTCTCTCTCTCTCTCTCTCTATATATATATATATACATGCATCTCTCTCTCTCTCTCTCTCTCTCTCTCTCTCTCTCTCTCTCTCTCTCTCTCTCTCTCTCTCTCTCTCTCTCTCTCTCTCTCTCTCTCTATATATATATATATATATATGCATATTCTTTCTAGCCAGGTTTTACCTATGTAAACTGAGTTTTCTGCAGCCCTCAGTTTACGTAGGTAAAACCTGGCTAGAAAGAATATGCACATAAAAGCCTACTAAAAAGAAAAAGACATACATATATATATATATGTGTGTTGTGTGTGTGTGTGTATTGGATTGTGATTTCACTGAACCAGGCTGCATAGAAATCTTGGTTTACGTAGGAAGAACCTGGCTAAAGAGAAATACATACATACATACATACATACATACATACATACATACATACATACATATAGTATTTATATATATGTATTTCTCTTTAGCCAGTTCTTCCTACATAAACCAAGATTTCTATGCAGCCCTACTTCAGTGAAATCACAATCCACTAGTTTCTAGGCTTTTTTCAGGCAGCCAGCAAGCACCCTGCTGCCCATTGGGAGACTAAGGAGACTAAGCAGCAGGGTGCTTGCTGGCTGCCGGAAAAAGCCTAGAAACTAGTGGATTGTGATTTTACTGAACTAGGGCTGCATAGAAATCTTGGTTTACGTAGGAAGAACCTGGCTAAAGAGAAATACACATAAAGGCCTACAAAAAAGAAAAGAACACACACACACACACATATATGTCTATATATCTTTTATCTATAGCTATATCATCTCCCTCTCAATCTCTCTCTATATCTCTATCTCTATATCTCTATATATCATCTTTCTATCTATCTCTATATTTCTCTATCTTTTTGGGGTCATGGGGCGAGCATGGGACTGCGTGACACTACAGAAAGTGGGAGAAGGGAAGAGTGACTCAGATGATTTGTCCTTTCACTTGGGCTCTCCTCTCCCCCCCCCATTTTGAGGACTGACGTGATATTGGCAGGACTTGTAGTGAAAGTTATTTGTCTGTGTTCACTGACTGTAGCAAAAGCTGGGGCACTGGATTCCCACATAGTTTTAAAGTCAGTCTCCCTCTCTCCCTCTTCCTCTCCCTCAGAAACATATATTTAGTTATTTTTAAAAGGGTGGTGAAAATTCTGGCGGATCTCAGCATCAAAACAAATCCTTACTTTGCACATACCTTGCTTTATAAATAAAGATTTATAGGACAAGGCTGTAACAATCAGAATGACTAGAGTCATGCTTTGAGCTAAGCCTTTCCCCATGATTTATTGAATAAATTGCAACTAGCTAAATTCATGCATTTGGGATTGTAAACTGTGGTTTACAGAAAAAAACCGCTAGGTTCATATAAGAGGCTAAGCCCCAGGCACAATAGGCTACCATTATTATTACATAGTAGAGGACAGAATTTAAATGGATTGCACTCACAGTACACTCCTTGTTTCTGCAATTTTTTTTTTTTTTTAAATCCAGGCTTAATGAAAATAGCCACTGTTTGAAATAGGCTTCAAGATAAACTAATGGTTAACTTTTAGATTGGCCCTCTGATCAATAATTCATTAAGCTGCAATAAGTGTAGAAGGTTCTCTTTGACATACATAATAATCTACCCTGGGTGTCTTCTCTCATTTTCTTGATTTGCAACCTAATTTTGGATTATAAAATATATAACCAGAGCTGCAAAGGAACTCCAACTTGGCCTTGGACAATCAACAAATTTAAGTAGCCCAACAGCAACTCTAATTAGAATGAGAATGTGAAACAGCTGGCAGTAATTTTTAAAGGCTTGCACTGAAGTTACACCATTCAGCCTCCGCTTGGAAGCAGGTGAGGGGGGGGGGAAGGAGCTGGTTACAACTGCCCAGAGAAGGAAGCTGTTTCAAAGTCTTCCTTGTTCCTAAAAGAACAGAAGACCCCTCAGAGCCTGAATTGAAAGAGGAACTTGAAAAGATGAACCATATTTGCAGAACATTTAAATTGAAAAGGTAATTCCCACAAAACTTTGATTTCAGACCTGGTAAAACCGGAGCAGTCAATCCTCTGTCCTATAACACATATGGATACCTTCCTTGGTATTTGTTACTTGTAGGTTGTTTGCTCCACTTGATTCTTAGAGTGCTTTAATTTTTTTTGTTTTTAATTAAAAATGAAAATCTGGGTAATTCAAACACTGATTCTAATTTCTAGCAATGCCCCTGGGCCGGTTGGGATGCTTAGAAAATAGATTTGGTGGGGGGGGGGGGGGAAACATACTAAAATAAGAACCAGTAGCATTTATTGGAAGCTTCTTAAAGTAGCTGCAGCTTTTTTGAGGGTGTGTATGTGTCATGTGTGGCTTTGTGGCACAATCCTGGGAAAACCTGGATTAAGGGAAAGGTATTCCTAACAACATAAATGCATTGTATGCATTGTAAAACATTTTTTTATTATTATTTTAAATCTATCTTTTTACTTGATCCTAATTGGGCTTTGTAACTTGGGGCACTAAGGAATGTTACAGATGAAAATACCTAACCTGATATCTGTAAATATGTGTGCTTGTTTATATGTCATTGTGTGATGTCATTGTGTCACTTACCATTGGTTAGTACTTACCATTAGCCCCGCCTTCTCTGTATATAAGTTCTTGCTCCTCCCAGATTAGTGCCTGTCTAATTGTGTTCCTGAGGAAGAAAAGAAATAAATATTACTATTACAAGAAAGCCTACAGTCTCTTATATATGGGCCTAACCAGGATAACCAAACTAGCAACAAATTGGTAGCAAGAGGATGGTTTGGTAGGCCCAACCGAACATAAAGATGCAAGACTCACATAACGACAAAAGAAGACCTGCCACCAGATACATAACGAAAAGAATGGCAGCTCAACTAACTCCTGACAAATATACACCACTTGAAAATATTAAGAAACAAACGCAATTACAAGAAAATGAACTGCTAACACCAAACAAAGAAGATGAGGTAAAAAGAAAAATACTAGAATTAATAGAAACAACTACAGCTGAATCAAATCTGCTTGTGAAAATCCGCAGCATAATAAACGACCACGGAACAGCAGCAGATAACGAAAATAACAAACAAGAAAACTGCAAGGTAAGAAATTCAACCCCTGACTTCAAAAATGACACCAAAGATGGCGACAGCTTCCCGCCTTTTTCATGGCAGCCATCTTACCCACCTAATACCTCTAAAAATGCCTGACCAATTACTAAAAGAATTCCAAACCTCAAACTACGAAATAAAAAACAAAACCTACCAAGAAGATGATTACCCGAGTCCAAAAACAAATAAAAAACAATTATTTAAACAAAACAAAGCTCAACCTACTGAAGTAGAAATAGACAATGCTATACAGGTGCTAACTGCAGCACTCGGGACTAAACTAACAATACCAAACAAACAACCAGAAAATGAAATAGAAAATTCTAAACTACCATCTACCAAAGGCCAAAAAGAAATAGACTGTCTAAAGAAAGGCCTAGCCACCCGAAGAAAGACAAGCTGGCAATCATACTTACCTACTGAAGAGCAGCTCCCTGAACAACCGGCTCCATTGGCAATGGCGGCCCGCCTCAAGCTCCACTTACTGACGACCTCAGAGAAGACTCCCCGATGAGCAGAGCAGCACCCCAGGCATTCTTCAGTCACCAGAGGCCCTCCGGAACAAAGCAGAGCAACAGAAGGCCGTCTGGGACTTCACCCCAGGAGCTGCAGACACAGGAACCTCCCTCATCGACTGCTGGAGAAAAAATGAGGACTGAGCATGCCCAGAACGAGCCTGCAAAGAAAGAAGAAGGAAACATAAATACAAGTCAGCGCAACATAGA